GCCCTCAAGAAAATAAGCCACTCATTCTACAACCGATCTGATCCTTTGACAAAACGCTGACCAAAAAACAACAGAAAATGGGGAAAGGATTTCCCATTTAAATAAATGGTGGCTGGGAAAACTGGCAGCGCATAACACTGTGGAAAGGGCTGAAAGCGGGAATCCCTTCCTTATACGAACATCACGCACTGGGGCCTGTTGTGGGGTGGGGGGAGGGGGGAGGGATAGCATTAGGAGAAATACCTAATGTAAATGATGAGTTAATGGGTGCAGCACACCAACATGGCACATGTATACATATGTAACACACCTGCACGTTGTGCACATGTACCCTAGAACTTAAAAGTATAACAACAATAATAATAATAAATATATATATACCCCTTTTGGTTAGATTGAGGGTCATTAGTTTACTTGATATTTTACCCAGACTCCTCAACTTCTCAATACTAATAAAAATTTTTTATTATAGGAAATTTAAGCATATGGAAAAGTAGAGAGACTAGAAGAATAAACCCCTATCCATCATCCAGCTTCAACAATGACCAACTCACAGTCAATCTTGTATTATTCATACCCCATTCACTTATTCCACCCCATAGCATTTGAAGCAAATCTCAGATATAATTTCACCAGTAAATATTTCAGCATAAATCATTAAACATAAGGACTATATTTGTAAGAATACTCTTTGAAATAGCATCAGGGAGAAGGAAAACATTGTTTCATTTGCAATTGTGTTTCTCAAAAGAATATATTTTTCTATCCTTCAAAGAAATTAACACCACATGGATTGAAACTGCAGGACTGATTAAAAAGATTAAAACAAACCAAAGAGGTGTTTGTTGTTGTTGTTGTTGTGTGCGGTTTTTTTTTTTTTTTTAGAAACAAGGTCTTGCTCTGTCACCCAGGCTAGAATGCACTGGCATGCAACCTTTAATGCTTGGGCTCAAGAGATTCTCTTGCCTCAACCTCCTGAGTAGCTAGGACTACAGGTGGGGCTAGGTGTGTGCCACCATGCCTGGCTAGTTTTTAAAATATTTTATAGAGATGGGGTCTCACTATGTTACCTTGGCTGGTCTCAAACTTGTAGACTCAAGCCATCCTACCACCTTGGCCTCTCAAAGTGTTGACATTACAGGCATGAGCTACCATGCCCAGCCAAACGGAATTTTAAATAGACCCTGACTCCTTGCTTTAATATAATGCCTGTGCCTCAGTGAGCTAGAAAGCCTCTTGTACCCCCATTATCACAGCTTTCAAGAGGGCGTATATCAGTCCTCTGCAAGTGCTGCTTGGGCAGGTTTCAGCAATGGACCCAGAACAGGGTCTATCTGGCTGGCAGCTTCATGGGGGCTAGCTAAGTTTATAGCTGAGTTGTGTAGAGACTTCTGGCCAGCCTTTCAAGAGCCACTCCATGGGAGACTGCTCATTTAGATGACAATGGCTATATGTGGGGCTAAAGATGCCCTGTCTGCTAACAGTAGCTTCCAATAAAAACAGGTCTTCTCCTCCACTGGGATCAATGCTCATCTATCTTGCTGGCATCTCTGCCCTAGCTTGTAACCCTGATGCTCCAAGGCATCCCTCCCCACCATAATTATCTTTAGAATGAACCAGGACCAAGAATTTTAAGACACCCTGCAAACCTTGAGGGGTATGCTGGAACACTGGTGGGCTTGGGGACTTTGAGAGCTGCCTCTGCACAGAGTTAGTAAATATACTACAGGTGCAATGCATTCCCATCCACATCTTTCGCCTTGGTTTCCCTCCTTCAGGCAGGAGGCAAAGCTGACTCTAAAACTCCCTACCAGTGTCTAAAATCCAGTCACCTCTACCAGCTCCTGCAGATTTGTGCTTTTGTTTTGTTTTGTTTTGTTTTGTTTTGAGACAGAGTCTTGCTCTGTCACTCAGGCTGGAGTGCAGTGGTGCAATCTCAGCTCACTGCAACCTCCACCTTCCACGTTTAAGTGATTCTCGTGACTCAGCCACTCGAATAGCTGGGACTACAGGCGTGCGCCACCACACCTGGCTAATTTTTGTATTTGTAGTAGAGACGAGCTTTTACCATGTTGGCCAGGCTGGTCTTGAACTCCTGACCTCAAGTGATTCGCCCACCTTGGCCTCCCAAAGTGTTGGGATTACAATTGTGAGCCACCTTGCCTGGCCTAATATGTGCTTTTATATATCCTTGTTGCTCCCTTGCAGGGACAGCACAAAAAGTTGTACTGACTTAGGGCTCATTCTAATCAAATGGCAAAGGAAGGGAAAAGCATGGGCCACCAGTCTGTTTGCACATTACATATTAGAAGTAACAGTCATTCCTTCAAAAGATTGTGGACCATGGTAAACCCTCAAGCAGGAGAGCTCAAGCCCACTCCCACAGAAGTGGTTGGTGTAGCCCTGATGCTCTGCTAGCCTCTGTCCAGCTTCTCCTCCTGCCTGCTTCCTCCACCTAGAGATAAGGACCAGTTCTGACCTTCACATCACCCCTTTCTTCTCTCAACTCTCACCCTGCCACATCCTGTCTCTTTGGAGTTTCCTTCTCTCCTTGTCTGGCCTGGGAGAGCTGACTCTCTGTGGACCAGAGCCCAGTCCAACTTGTAGCAGGTTTATAAGTCAACTACCTCACTACAGGACAGAATGGCCCAGAACTAGACTATGGCCATGTTATTAGCCACGGCTAATCCTCTTGGGTACCCAGGACATAAACATGGGACCAAGGGAGATTGTGTTGTCTAAGGCAGACACCAGAGAGCATGTGCCAGCTTTGAGGGGTGTACAGGAACAATGGTGGGTCTGGGGGCTTTAAGAGCTGCCTCTGCATAGAGGTAGCGAATGTACTACAGGTGCAATGCATCCCCATCTACATCTTTCCCCTTGGTTTCCCTCCTTCAGGCAGAAAGCAAAGCTACTCTAAAATGTCTCACCAGTCTCTGAAATCCAGTCACTTCTCTTCTACTACTCTTTGTCCTCGTTCATTCTAAAGATAACTGGAGTAGAGGCCTTGGAGCGAGTGCCTTGGAGCAGCAGGGTTACAAACTAGGGAAGAGATGCCAGCAAGACAGATGAGCCTTGATCCCAGTGGAGGACATTTGTTTCACTGGAAGCTACTGTCAGCAGGCAGGGCATCTTTAGCCCTACATGGGGCCATCAACACCTAAATGAGCAGTCCCTATGGGGCAGGTCTTGGGGGTAATGTGTGGAAGAAAAGCCAGGAGGGGCGTGCCTTTTGAGGCAGGGTGTGCTGGCAGTGTTGAGAGGTAGAAACTCACTACCTGTTCCTCCTTTCTTTCTTTGCCCTTCTCTTGTTGCCAAGGTGGCTTTTCTCTTGGTGCCAAGCATCCCTGCCATAAGAACATCTTTTTCCCATAGCATCTAGGTTTTGCTTTTCTAGAACCACGGTTTTCTTCTTGAAAACCCTGAATATTTTCAAGAAGAAATGGTTAATCTCACCTGATGGTTTCATCAGGAGCTGAGGCACAGGAACAGACAAGGTAGGCCTCCTGTGTGAGCCTAAGACAGTGGGCCTGATGACTGCTCCTTTGAGGATAAACTCATGAGAGGGCTCACTGAGTGGTCTCTACTCAGCATAGACTCTGCTCCTCCAGCAATTCAGGGCAAAGGCAGGATTGCAGAAGTGAGGAGATTCCTGAGAAGGTGGCCTATGGAGTCTCCTAGTCCTTCTCTCCTTCTTGTCCATCTATAGTACTCAGGCACACTTTGTGTTTTACTCCCTAGTCCATGTTAAAGTTTAATCCTGCTTTTCTATGCATTACCATAATGTGGGATGAAGAGGGGACCATCAATGCTCATGCATCCCACAGGCAGACTCAGTCAGATTAGAATAACTCTCTACTCTGTACTTTGTGCCCATGGAAAGAAATGAGAATGAATGCACTAGAAGCACACATGCATACTCACACCATGCTTATGTCATTCCCTGTGAGCTAGGAGGGCTTGCTGGGCATGTAGGTGAGGGGCAGCTCCAGGTTAGCCAGGAGCCAGAAAACCAGCCTAAAACTGCAAGTGAGGGGCTCTGTGACAAGTCCTGGATCAGCAAGGACCAGAGGTTTTGGGTCAGCTTTGTGGATCAGTCGCACAGGCTGGCTGAGAGCTGAGCATGGGCATCCTTTCTGGGCTAGGTTACATAAGAGTTTCTGTGCTTTTGGAAAGGTTCCTGCTTACCAGTGCATTCTCTGCATGGGGAAATGTTTTCTGAGTGAATACTTTTGACAAACACAGAAGTCCCCCATGTTATGTAAAACTGAAGAATGTTTTCTGATTTATAGGCAAAAGCCATTAATGTTTACATCTTTCTTTTTGATGAAAAAACTCATCTCAAAAACCAATTTCTATTTGAGTCAGGGGCTCAGTTACTACAGTTCCCTGAATGACCCTATTTCAGCTTGAAAACGTGCTCAAAGCTTAGTAATGAGAAAATGGCTTCAACAAGTTTTTCCAGCACATGGGCCACATTCAACAGTAGGTAGTCAGAGGGCCCCACATAGAGATCTCCCAGTGATGGGAGCAGAATGGCTGGAGCCCCAAGGAAGCCTAAACCAGTGCTGACAATGCTGCCAATCCCATAGAAACTAGTTTGATGGAAAGTAACCCCAATACGAGAGGAGCCTTGGCTGTGCTGTAGGGAAGGGAAATCTAAGAAAAGAACACATATCAGTAAGAAGCAGTTTAGGCCTCCTTTGGCTGTGATTAAAATCCATTCATTTCTACCACTCATATTTTATATGGCAGCAGATTAGAAAGCCATATCAGTTCTTTAAGTAAATCCAATAAAAACAAACAGGGTTCCAGAAGCCCCTGCTGTAGAAGCATTCGTATTTATAGATAGGCAAAGCTGGTATGTGGGGTAGTCTCTAACACCTACAATCTGGATATGGCTTTCAAGTCACAGAATTAAGCTGTTGTCTTTTTCTCCCTCAGAGAAAATCATGTGGTCTCCATATCTCAGGCACATAGATAGGCACCCACCCACTCACCACCCCACACACCACCCCCTGTAGCTGCTAACCCTATGATGTCAAGATGCCATGTATCACAGCAGAAGCTGAAAGGCTAAAGGGCTTGCCTAATGACGCGTACCTTGCCTTTGTTGAAGTAGTGAATGATCTTCCGGCACAGTCCCTCCTTCCGCTGCCACTCCGTCTGCGATGGGTAGTGGAGGAATTCCCGCAGTGGCCGGTCCTCCCACTGCAGCAGCTCACAGTAAAGGAGCAGGGTAAATGCGGCCTCTGTGGGGACAGACAGCACGGAGGTCCAGGGGCTTCCCTTGCTCAGGGGCCCAGGAGCAGCCTAGTGTCAGAGGACTATGCTGGGCAGAATGCCAGCGCAAGTCATGTGCAGCCCAGGTCAGGGACACTGGATACCAAAGACAGAACAGTGGGCCTGCTCAGCAAGCCAATAACCCTGGTCCATAGCATGAAGGAGCCAAATATCCTGGTAGACACCTTCCTTCCATGGCCTGGTCACCTGTTCCGGCCTCCATATTAATAAAGAATGACTCAGCTACCCAAAAGTCTGTGTACAGGTGGCTTTGCTGTGGGAGACGTTGACACATCAGAGAGAGCTCTTGGGTTCCTTTCTGCTCAACTGACTACAGCTTCCTTTCCAACCTTCTCAGAACTGGCTCTTAGGGCTCCATTACCAAAGGAACCTAAATTGATACTAGACCCAGAGTGAAGGCCTGGCAACATCTTACTCTATGTGTGGAACAATTAGAGAGGGTTATGTAAAACAACAGCAGTGAAATACCACGGCTCCCTACATTCCGAGGGATGAGTCACACTGAATCACAGCCACGGCTCAGGGGCCTCATTACACAGTTTTCTCTCTTCTGTTCTATTTGTTCATTTTTAGTGGGCATCTCCTACTGGCAAGTTAATTAGTTCTAGCTTCTGTGCTTCTGCCTGGTTTTCAAGGTTCTACTCAAATCTACTCTCCATGACTATGAAGAATCTCATTTCTAACCATTTATTGACCCACTTCCAGCTTTAGCTAGGCCCACTTGCCTGTGTCCACTCTTTAGGCTCCTTCTCATGCTTGCCTCTTTGCCTGTGCCCTTGCCACTGGAACTTCCTGCCAAGGAATGTACACGCCTCCTCATGGGATCAGGAAGCCTTTTTTCTCTAGCGACAAGCCTTGTGGAACTCACGGCCTCCCTCTGGAGCTTAGGAAATCATGGAACGTCTTTTTCTTCCTTGCCTACATTATTTTCAGATGTCATTCCCTGAGCCATCAGAGACAAGGCTTAGCACTCTTTCTCTGTTAAAGTCCCTGACCCAGCCTCTCAGTCATGGCCCAGTTCCCCAGAAGTTTAGCAAATGCTTCTGCTGATACACAACATTTATTAAAGTCTTTCTCTTCACTGCCCTCTCAGAGGGTTGCTGGATCATGGGTGCAAGTGGATGCAGAGAATGGTAGACTCAGCCCAGTCATTTTATTAGTCAGCTGAATTTAAGATTCAAAGCCCAGTCATTTTAGATTTAATTATTGCCAAGCTGTGCTATCAGATAATATATCATCTATGCCAAACACTCTCTAACAGCTAGAGATAAAGAAGGAGGATTCTCTGTTTCTACAAATCTATCTAATTGCAATAGTGTTTGCAGAGAAGGATAGCTTAAATTTCCTGGTCTATCACACAAATTCAAGTCCTATCACCTAAGAGCTAAGACATAATGGCTGGTCACCACAGTGGAGAAAATGGTTCTTTGGGGGAACGATGGCATGTCAATCAGACAGGACACACACACATGCGCACAACCCCTGATTCAGCGTGGTTCTCAGTAAACAGTTGTGACAGCCACTCTGAAATGCTTTAAAATTTGTTCTAGTTAGAAAAGGCCTTGATGTTGGATTAAATTGTAGATACAATGACAGGCCATGTCTGGCCTGTCAAGAAGTCAGATGAACACTCCTCATACTCTGCACTGGGAGCACAATGTGAGCCTGCTATGCAGTTGCAGGGTCTAAAGAACCTAGCCTGCAAGGAAGGTCTGCTAGTGAGTTCTGGAAGTTCCAGGGTTAGGGGGATATTCCTTTGTTATAACCTTAGCTCCAGCTTTGAAAGTCCTAAAAAAGGCTCTCTGTTCATAAGGAGTGACAGTTAGCTCAGGATGCTCTGAACCTGGTGCACCAGAATTTGGAGGTCACCCTTGAGACTTCAGAGGGGTGGACAGGAGGGAAGGAGAGTGAAACAGCCTCAAGTAATGGAGGACATGGCACAAAGGCACAAGTGGAAGTTCTGCCTGCTTTCTCTCTACCATGTGCCACAAAGGAGTTGAGGGAAATGAGTGAGGTGAGGGGATAGCACAAGCCCCAACATTCTGCTGAGATCTGGCAGGCACCACCCTGAAGCCTTTCTCTGCCTATTGTACAAATCCCTTCAGTTTGTCCTCATGGTCAGGCATGGCTCTCTCTTTTCCCCACTTACCTGTGTAGTTTTCGGCCTGCAAGTGCATGTCACAAAGCTTATGGATGTAGCGGATATACATTTCTTCCTTGTTAATCTCAGATTTGTAAAAATTCTATAATAAAGAGAAGGAAACACCTGTCAACTACCTGTGGAGGCCATAGCCAAGCTCTGGGCAGCTGGCCAAAGCCGTGGGTGTGCTGGGCAGGAGAGGGAGGGCAGGCTCCTGGAGGCAGACAGCACCAGAAGGAGAAAGCACCAGCCAGAAGGAACACCTGCTGTGGGTGGAACCACTGGCAGGTCTATGGGAGCCCTGGGTAGCGTGAAAGAGCATCAGGGCAGATCAGGAGTCAGGGTTGACTGTGAATTGGGGCATGTCAGAGTTAGTGGGTCCCTGCCAAGAGGCCAGGCTAGAGTTCGGTACAAAGAGAAGCTCGTTTCATTCCTTCCCCAAGTAGGAATGTGTCTGGGGAAGTGCAGGCCTCTAAGATACCAGTAACTGGGCTGATGTCCTGATTAAAACCCTCAGGCCTATAGCCATGTATTGTAGAAGGGCCAAGCCAATCACAGCGCAGGACAGAAACCATTTCAGTAGGCAGAGAGGTCAGGGCCCATGTCCTCTCACCATCAGGTTAACAGTACAGCCAATCTTCTTATTCTCTGTTTCCTCTCCTTTCATGCAGTCCCTGGAAGAGACAGCACAGATGAGCACCAGATACGAAGTGGGGCCTTGAGACAACACATAGAACTGTACTATTACTGGGGCATTAGTATGACCAAATCCCAGATTGAGATGGCCTCCAACAGGAACTGTTTCCATAGATGAGGAGTCTACTGTGAGCTCCTTCAGCTTTGGACCCACTCTTGGGGCTCAAATATCTCTTCAACTGAGACCCTTATTCTGGTGGCAGAGCACAGACAGAGTCCAGAGCTACATCAGGGTATTAAGTGGCACCTACAAAGGTCCTTGGCACAAAAGGGCATATTAATTAAGTGAAAGGCCAAATCCTCAACTTCCCATAAAGGGAGGCACAGAATTCTCCTTAAAGGACAGGTTTCATTTTGTAGGAGTGCTGAATAGAAGCCAAGATCCTCCACTTCATGGCCCTAGCTTCAGGGCTCTGTACGTGTTCACCACATAGTTGACATTTCTCCCTACGGTTTCCTTCCTGTGTACTAGTCTTTGGAGCCATCTATCACCAGAAGCAGCAGGTCTCGTGCGTAAAGCATCAGCCAGGACTGAGCTGCATTCATACCTAGCAGGGTCTGGGTATAGGAGGTATCAGGGATGGCTTGTGAGAGACAGGAAAATAGGAACACTGAGAATGGATCCTTTCCAAGATAGGGAGAGGGTTGGTCAAAGCCAAGCTCCTCTGGAAAGGAGCAGAAGCCTGGCACAAGGAGATGAAGGAGAATGAGAACCAGACTGGTGAATCCAGCAAGAAGTCTCCTATGCACACAGCCAGCCAGAGAGCCATCTGCCTGATGTGTCTCCTTCCATAGCAGCCCACACTGCTCTAGAGAAGATCTAGTTTCTTGTGCAGCTGTATATTAGCAGCTCTGGGGAAAAGCTGCAGAAAGGGGTTTATACAGATTTCTAGGGTCAGGTTGGAGAGTGTCTTTGGCTTTGCTCCACTGACAGGCCCAGGGCCCAGTGAAGAGCAGTACAGCTGGGAATGAGGGGCCCTAGGCCAAGTCACTGAGCCTCTGGATGGCCATTTGACAAACCCAGTTCTCCCCACCTTCCCATCATGCAGAGGAAGAACCCCGGGATGACTCCTTTGAAAGAAAAAGATGTTGAAAATCCATACTCCTCTCATGATATTTTGCAAAGCCAAATGTCCTTCCTGTGGAAGTCTCCAGTCAGAGTTGACAGGTTTGTGATGTTTGGAACCAAGGCCCTCCTTTCTTGAGGGGGGGGTTGACTTATCACCACATAAGACATTTGGTTCCTATGTAGCCAGACATGAGGGTCCTGAACATCCTTCTGCAGAACCTGTCCCTTTAGTGCTAGCAGGGCCAGGAAACTGCTTGACTTTTCAAGAGAAGTGAGCCTGAGATCAGATGGCCAAGTTGTTACAAGCAACCCACACAACGGTAGAAGGCATCTGTCTCCCCAGTAAGTTGGCCCCATGAAGGGCAGTGAGATCTTACCTCGCCACTTCAGCATTTAGTGTAGCTATAGGCAGGCATGTAGCTGTGCTACAGAATGGGGGGATGCTTAAGAGCACATTTCCCAGGAATTCCATTTCCATTTAGTGATTTGTATTTTCTATAAAGCATCTGAAACACTTACCAAGCATTAACTTCTGTTTGGCCATAACCAGAACTTCATAGCTAAGTCCCTTAAACAGAAAGGAACTGGCCTCAACACTGTGATACCAGGGGCATCCTATACACTTCTGTGCTCTATGACTGCTTTTCCTCTGCACTGCTGACAGCAGACTCTTTTTTTGTGTAGCTTTGCATCACTTCTGTGTGGCTACTTCATGGTGGATGCCTTTTAAAGTTTGACTTAGGTGCAGCTGTTGCTTTCCCTCTTGCTCTTTCTCTGAAGGGTGAGCAGGGAAGACTCCTGAAAGAGGCTTCTGAAGCATCTGGCTCACCTGGGTAGTGGGCTGGCTGGGGACTACATCAGTGACCAGGCAGCCCTCATTGCAATCCGAGGGGTCTGGGAAAGGCAGGCTTCATAACCTTCAGTTGCCCGTTCCAGGTACAGGTTCCACTTTGAGCCACAAGGGCTTGGCAACTCTAGCTCTATCCCTGTCTGTTCCAGGCACAAAGAAAACCCTTCTAGGACCCTGCTTCCTATCCTGGGAAATATAGTTACTACCAGTGAGAATCTTCATGTTTGACACAGTGTCTGAAATTCACACAAAAGTTAAAGACATTGATATAAAAGCTGACGAGGTACTCCTTTGAGTATCTAAAGTTTTGCTAGTCTAACATTGAATCTTACATAACAAGTTCAGGTAATTCTAGAGTACAATCTGTTGATTATGTTTAATCAATGTATATATTTTAAAACTCTGAACAATTATTTTTTTCCTTTTTGTTTGATGTCCTTTCCTTGAGTCATATCAACAACTATTTTCTTTTACTTTTTTTTTTTTTTGAGACAGGGTCTCATTTTGTCACCCAGGCTGGAGTTCAGTGGCGCAATCTTGGCTCACTGCATCCTCCATCTCCTCAGATAAAGTGATTTGCCCACCTCAGTCTCCAAAATAGCTGGGACCCCAGGTGCATGCCACCACACCTGGCTACTTTTCCAATTTTTCATAGAGATGGGATCTCACCATATTGCCCAGGTTGGTCTCGAACTCCTGAGCTCAAGCAATTTGTCTGCCTTGGTCTCCCACAGTGTTGGGATTACAGGCATGTGCCATTGTGCCTGGCCAATAACTCTTTTCTTAGTAAGTTCTTGAACTAACTGCATTGAGGTAGAGGAAAAGAGTTGCTTGGTTTCTGCATGGCCTTTCCAACAAGTTTATCACTCATTATTTACTCTGTACCTGCCAGGAGCCAGCCCCCATACAGGGGAACAGGGAGATAAGGACAAGGTTCCTATCCTCAAGGAGCTGGTCCTCTTTTATAAGGTAAGACAGAAAGATGATAAATGATCATAGTTCAATGTGTGCACAGACAGGTAAGCTCCTGGCTTGGGAAAGCTTCCTTAATAGGGGTGAGTTGGAAGACCACTCTTGGGAGAGAACACAGCATAGAGAGAAACCTGAAGGGAAAATACAAGTGGTTAAGTGGTGACAACATGGAGAAAGAGACAGGGCATGGTTCTTGAGTCAGCTAGATCTGGATTCAGATCCTAGCAGTGGTACCTCTTAGTTTCTCCTCATGGATAAAAAGAATGAGGATGCTTATAGGATTAGAGAAAATGTATGTAGAGCACTCAAGTGGTGGATTTTCAATAGACAGGGGCCATCATCAACATTATGCTGCTTCCTTTCACGTTAGCAAGGAGCAACACTGGGAGGCTGGGGTGTAGGGCATGAGTACTGGGGACTAGCAGAAGATTGGTCTGGAGAAGTGAGCAAAGGCCAGTGATGCCATATTAACGATTTTGGACTTTTTGTAGATACCACCACCGAGACAAGAAATAGAGAATGAAGTTGGTTTTGGGCATGAGTTTGAGCAGCTTGTAGAAGGTAGCTAAAGAAATCAAACAGGCAGCTAGAACAAGGCCTTGGAGCCTAAGAAATTATTTTCTGCTCCTTCGTTAGGACACGGTGAATGAAACCAAACTTTAGAAAATGTTTTGGTAAGGGGGAGGTGCAGCACTTTGTTCACCTCTCTTCCCTTTCTAATTGTAGCTGCAGGAGAAGCTACGGACCTGGTGTGAACAAAGAAGTCTCTTGCTGTAAAAGGGGCCCCAAGGCCAGCTTTGAACTTGAAAGGCCCAGGAAAAACGGCCTGAAGTTCACACAAGCATAGCTGTGCTACAGAATGGGGGGATGCTTAAGACGAGAGCACATTTCTCAGGAATTCCATTTCCATATCCAGGCCAGTGCATTGGACACCTGAGTCTTTTGCACAGCAGCACCTTCTACTTCAGCAGCAACTGCAGCCAGGCTTAACTCTCCTATTTCCTGATCCATGAGCTCAAAATGCTCTCCTCATTTGGCATTTGCACAGCTTATAGCACAGAGAAGGCAACTATTGCTTGGAGCTGGGTTTCATTTATCATTTCTCCTCACCTTCCTCCAGGCTCCCAAAAGGTACCTTTAGCCATCACCTGAACCCTGCTGAGAGAATGATTAAGGCTGCAGTTGTGGTTTCATTGTCATGTTTGGACTAATTCAAAAGCCATGATACAACTGAGAAGGCAGACTTTCATTAAGAAATTCTAATTCTGGCTGGGCGCAGCAGCTCAGGCCTGTAATCTCAGTACTTTGGGAGGTCGAGGTGGGAGGATCACTTGAGCCCAGGAATTTGAGACCAGCCTGGGCAACACAGTGGGACCTTGTCGCTACAAAAACAAAAAACAAAAACCAAAAAACAAAAAATTAGCCGGGCATGGTGGCATGGGCTTGTAGCCTCAGCTACTCCGGAGACTGAGGTGGGAGGACAGTTTGAGCCTAGGACTTCGAGGCTGTAGTGAGCCATGATTGCCCTCCAGTCTGGGTGACAAAGCAAGACTGTCTTCAAAAAAAAAAAAAATTCTTATTTCACATGAACTCCCAGACTGAACATAATATGAAGATCTCTGAGCTCACAGGCTGTTTCCTCTAATCTATTCTGGCCATGACCAGGGGACAGAAATAAATAGACTTTAGACAAAGAATATAGGCATTGAAAAGTGGGGTCCCTAGTCCCTGGAAAAGCCAACTTCATGTCCTCTAGGTGATACTTCTCTGCTCATCTGCCATATGGTTCGGAGGAAAGTCTGCACTAAGGACCTATAGCTGTTCCCTGCCCTGCTCTGGAGATAGCTTTACTCTTCCCTCTTGCTGTGCCCACTCCTCTGAGCCTTAACCCTTCTGGATGGAAGGCCAGATGACTACATATCCCCAAGATCCCTCCTGGGTACATGTGCCCACATTTTAGCGGGGAATCCCAGGAGGCCCTAGCCTACCCCTGGGAAAGTCTCTGTCTCTGTCTCTTCTTGGTCATCAGCAGATTCCTACTGACTGGTGACGGCACCCAATATCACAACAGTGCTCCCCATGAAGGGCACATGGTCTCAGTTTTCAGGTCAGGGGGATTCCCTTGCTAGAGAGAGTATCCTGACAAAAGAAGAGGTGAGCGGGCGGCTGAGAAGATACCTGTAGTCAAGAAGACGTTCCATGAGGCGGGTGACTGAGGTCACAAAGGAAATGCCGGTCTCACGCCATGTTTCTTGTTCAACCTTCTCCAACAGGCTATTGGTGGAGGGGTGGAGAAAGCAAACACAATTCATGAGCCTTCCCCTGGGCACAAGAGTGAAGTCCAAGAGCCCATGGAGGCTGTGATGGATCTGGAGACAGCAGACTTACCACACTGCAGTCTTACCTGGGGTAGGGCCCAAACAGCTGGGTTCTACTCCATGCAGCAGAAAGCAAAGACAAGGAGGTTACTGAACTGGCAGCAACAAATGAAAACACGTCTTCTATTTCCATGTACAAGTTCCTAAGGATGCCACTGAGGAGGAGGGGAGGGAGGGGCTCGGCTCCAGCCACCTTAGGCATACACTGTAACTACCTTCTGTTCTGAAGGAGTAGTTGAACAAGAGCCCACTGAGGGATAAGCCTGGCTTTGCCAATGGCTGACTGTCTTTATCACTGCCCAGAGTCATCCTCAGCAAACATACAAACCAAGCTCTGTTTTTCAAAATTTTAATTTTTCTTTTTTAAGATGGGGTCTTGCTATGTTGCCCAGTCTGGTCTTGAACTCCTAGCCTCAAGTGATTCTCCTGCCTCGGCCTCCCAAAGTGTTTGGATTATGGGCATGAGCCACCGTACCCAGCCTACACCCATCATCTTCATGGAAACTAAGGGAAAGATTCTCATTAGTCTTGGGGCCCCAAAATAAGGGAAAGTGAGCAAGTCCAGGAGCTATACTTGGCCATCCTACTGTTGCAGGGAATGCTCCCAAGCAAAATGTGCCAGAGCCAGGAGCTAAATGCCCAGGTTCTTTTCTTACTTGACAACCTCATGCTCCTGGTACCTCAGGGCAGCCCCTGGCTTCTCCAAAAGCCTGACTTCTGAGATCCTCTGCCATCCCACAGGTCTTTCCTAAGGGACAATGACTTGAACTCTTTCGGCTCGCTCCAGTAATGAGCCATCCTTCACTCCATACAATTTTATTCCTGATTCCTTTCCACACTGTTCCTTGCTCTCTAAGGTCATGAGAGTCACTTGGGGTGGCACACCCAGCTAGGGGTCTAGCACTGGGTGCTCAAACCCACAGCCTGACTGCTGTTAATGCTGCTGCTACAATGATGACTGTCTCCTTGCACAGAGCATACTGCCTAGGCCAGGCTTCTGGGAAAGTGAGGGTTCTCCAGGTAACTCCTGTTGTTAGAGAAGGTTAAGAACACTGAATCTGACTTCTGCGGCTTTATCCATTGAGAAATGTACCAGCATTTTTCAACTGTGTTCTGCAGAGGTCTCTGTCCTAGAGGACAGGTGGAAATGTTCTGTGAGCACACAAGCATGGGAAATTGGGAAACGCTGATCGCTACACCCTCCTGTTGGAGATTTTTCATATCCTTTTTTTTTTTTTTTGAGATGGGGTCTTGCTGTGTTGCTCAGGATAATCTCGAACTCCCGGGCTCAAGCAATCCTGCCACCTTAGCCTCCCAAGTAGCTGGGATTACAGGTAAGTACCACTGCACCCAGCTCATATCCTTTTGCACAACAAAGTCTTTGAGAAGTCCTAATAAAGAGGCTTGTTCAATTTTGCTTAGTTGAATCTTTTCTAAACTAATTCACCCATGATTTACATTTTTTTTTTTTTAGCTTCCAAAAACACAAATTTGAAAATGCTGCTCCATGTTATGAGTGGTTCTCAGTTCTTAGACTGTTTTAAAAGAGCTTATAAACATGATTTGGTCAGGTAACTAGTAATTGCAGATTATTTTTGTACTTTTTCTTTTGTAGCAGTCATTTGTTAGCGGCCAAGGAACACTGCCTTGTTTCCACAATTAGACAAATCTTCGGCTAAAAAAGAAATACTAAAGGATGGATTCATTTTCACAAATTATAATTATTTAAATTTAAAATAAATTTACATTTTACCTCATGACTCCTCAAGAAACAAAGTGGGCATGGTATAGCGGAAAGACTCCCCCATCTGGAAATTAGAAGATCTGGGCCCTCCTTCCAGAGCTGTCTGTTACTGATGACACAACTGAGGGCATGCTGGCACTTCCCTGAGCCCAGTTCTTTATTTCTCAAGTGGGAGGGAAGATAATTTCTACTCTGCACACCTTGCAGGTATGTTGTGAGGATCAAATAAGGTAAGAAATGCCAACACATTTTGCACACTGGAAAGTTCTAAGCAAATGGATAGTATTATTCCTGAAAAAATACGCTAGAGGTTTGTTTTCAAAATGGAACTAAAACAAAGAACATCTCAAAGTTGGACATAAGTATAACAGGGAGGGTATTCTAGAACTGTAAATATCTTAAGATTTCATTTTTTAGGAAGATAAAATAGCAACATCACTATCTACTTGGGAGGGCCATAGTTCCCCTGGGTCTCTCTTCAGGTCTCTTTGCCTCCATCAACTTAAGCCAGAAACCATGGAATGGAGGACCCAGAAGAACCCTGACATCATTCAGTACAACCATCTCATTCCACAAACATGAAAACTGGCCTGGAAAGAGTGTTGCAGCTTGTTCAAGAGCTCGCTGCAATGTTTTTCAAGCTGACTGTACTAACTTACCAAGCAGGGCAATCAGGAACCTGTCTCTCAAAGGAGGATTTATCCCCCACCTTGAAATGCCAGCATTGAGCCCAGAACTGAGTCTCCATGAACTGTCTGCCCCCCATCCAGATGCAGTGCATGTTATGAAGACAAACAATGATCCTTTTCCTTTCAGCAAATCTAGGAGCTCAGAGGTTACCTGTTTTCTATCTTTTCAGTCAACTATGGGAATCCCTGAAAGAGCCTGGTTTCTTGGTGACAGAAGTTGAGCACTGCTACCATCAGGAACAACCCAGGTCTCTCTTGATAACCAAACTCTAAAGCCTGCCAGTGCAGTTGCAAACTCTACTTTTCATTGGCCCACTTCATCCCATCCCCCATTGTGATGTGCCTGGGGCTGGAGCAGCTTACAGTAGGCTGAAGAGCTCCCTGTAGCTCTCGTCACCTTTCCCTTCTGATACCATGCTGTCCAGCTTGTCAATCAACTCGGCCTCCACCTAGAAGGAAGCAGAAACTTCATAAACCTGAGATGACCTCAGAAGAAGAATGGGAAATCCAGTTCCTGTGGTGGGTGAGGATGTCGGTAACTAATTCCTGATTCTGTCCTTGTTCCAAAGAAATCCCAGGGAAGATAGTATCTTACCTATAGCACCAAGAAATCACTCTGCCTCCCCAAATCAAGAAGGTCTCCCACCCTAGTGGTCTGAAAAAGAGGTAGGACTTAAACGTCTCAGGTACTCTTTCCCATCTAAGGGCAAAAGGCAAGGATTCCCTACTGAGAAAAGTATTTTGGATTCAAAAGAGGGCTTTTTCAGATTTTTCCCCCCTTTAAAAACATTAATTCAAAATAATTTGTAGGCATAAAACACATTTGGTTAGAACTTTACCCTCTAGTCAGCCAGTCAAAAAAGATGCTTTCTGGGGAGCTTGTCCTCACTCTAATGGCTGGCATTAAATGGAGCTGAATGAGATTTGAGTGTTTCCTCCTGAGATTTTCCTTCAGGATAACAGGCTCCACTGTTTGTACCCACAGAACCTAGAGCCCTTGAGGCTGCTGTTCCTATCACTGGACCATCACTGGGCCCCTGCATTTGTTATTGGATACCTAAATCATAAGAAGCAAGACAATATTTGTTCCTACCCTGTGGATTTGCAAGGGCATTCAGCAGTACTCACTTTTCTTTTTTTAATTTAATTTAAAGTTCAGGGGATACCTGTGCTTGACTGTTTGATTGTTGATTGATTGATACCTGTGCCAGGTTTGTTATGTGGGTAAACATGTGCCACAGTGGTTTGCTGCACCTATCAACCCATCACCTAGGTATTCAGCCTCAGATGCATTGGCTATTTATCCTAATCTCAGCCATTTTTCTAATAGGTCTCACTGGATTTACTCTGAGGTGAGAAACTGGTTGTAAGTGATATGATATAAAATTGTTTTAACCTTTTATTAACCTTTATTTATTTATTTTGAGATGGAGTCTCACTATGTCACCCAGGCTAGAGTGCACAGGTGTGATCTCAGCTCACTGCAACCTCCACCTCCCAGGTTCAAGCGATTCTCCTGCCTCAGCCTCCTGAGTAGCTGGAATTACAAGCATGCATCACCATGCCGGCTAATTTTTGTATTTTTAGTAGAGATGGGGTTTCACCATGTTGCCCAGGCTGGTATTGAATTCCTGACCTCAGATGATCCACCTGCCTCAGGCTCCCAAACTGCGGTCAAGCCACCGCGCTTGACCCCTTTATTAACCTTTAAACTATAGTACTGTGACATTATTTATTTAGTATTTAATATAAACAAAAAAGTCACAGCATGGCTGCATGAAATAATGTGCTATAAACAGAAGCCTTTCTCACTCTACAGAGAACAAAGAATCCTGAGGCTAAGAAATAATAAAAGAGTAACTGAATTAGTAAATTCAATGAAGGCAATTAGGGCCTCTGAAGTCCAATGACCGGAAAATGAGGCCTTTTTTTTAAATAGTGGTCTGCTACATGGCCAGGGCAGGGATGAGTGAGTTGCTTGAATACACATTTGAGAAGAAGCAGAAAGTCTGAGACCCGGAGTCCTTAGAAATTGAAGCCCTCTCACTCTCTCTGTGTGGAGAAAAGGCATAAGCAGGGACTTGCCTGGGGTTATGTTACGTCAGGTAGAGCTGCATCTAGAAGCCAAAGTGGATTAGTCCCAGTTCAGAGCTTTTCTTGCTCACTGGGTCAACCTGCTGGCTAAAAGGCCCCCAAGAGAAGGGCCTGATTATAACAAGGGATCTCTCTTCACACATGGTGGTATAGGTAGATTGTGCCTTCAGAACACAGCAAAAAGGTGGGGAGGGGACCTGGAGCAGCAGAGCGTACAACAGTGTAAACAGGGTACAACAGTCCACTGGAATCTAAATGGTTCTCAAAATGGGTCTCTGGGCCAGCAGCAGCAGTTTCACCTGAGATCTTGTTAGAAATTAAAATTCTCAGGCCTCATCTAGTTTGTCGGATCAGAAACTCAGGGTGGGAGTGCACAAGCTATGCTTTAATGAGTCTTCCACGTGCTTCTGAAACCTATTCAAGTGTTTTGAACTTTGTATTAGGCAAAGAAGCTGGTGATGGGGCTGGGCGTGGTGGCTCAGGCCTATAACCCAGCACTTTGGAAGGCTGAGGTGGGCAGATCAACTGAGGTCAGGAGTTTGAGACCAGCCTTACCAGCATGGTGAAACTCCATCTCTAATAAAAATATAAAAAAATTAGCCAGGTGTGGTGGCACCTTGCCTTAGTCCCAGCTACTCGGGAGGCTGAGGCAGGAGAATCACTTGAACCCAGGAGGTGGAGGTTGCAGTAAGCCAATATCATGCCACTGTATTCCAGTCTGGGCAACAGAGTGAGATTCCATCTCAAAAAAAAAAAAAAAAAGCTGGTGATGGAAGGATATGGGAGACATGACTTAATCACCCCTACAGAGCTCATAAAGGAAGAAGTTATTAGGAGAAATCTAGAAATCTAAAACATGGGACACTGAATATCAACACATGCAAAATCAACATCTCTAAGTTAAACAATAAGTTCTTCAAACATATTAGGTCATAATTAGTGACACTGATCATCAAGTTTGCAGTTACTTTTATTCCATAGAAACAGTATTCCTGAAGTGACATCTTCATTCAACAAATATTTGTCCTGTGACATAATGATATACACAGTTCTAACATTTACCTCTCTAAGCCCAATTTTCTACGTTTGTGAAATAGAATGGTGGTAACATTCCTCTTTGGTGTCACTGTGCCCTGGATCTTGGGAAGTACTTAATAAATGCTAGTTTTGATTTTCATCTCTATGAGCCTACCATGTCCCAGGCACCATGGTGGGTTCTGAGATATAAAAATGCACAAGAAATAATCCTGGTCCCTAAAAGCCCATCATCTGGCAGAGGCGGCAGGTAGGACAGCTGACACAGCTCAGCATGGTAATTGCTTAGATGGAACACACACAGAAAAGGTAGTCTGGATTTCAAAGAATTGTGCTATAAAAACTTAAGAAAGGTTTTTGAATCTTTGATCTAGTGATTACAGGTTGAGAAATTTACCTAAGAAAATAAGAATAAATGTTTTTGGCAATATTAACAACAAAAATTTGGAATGAACCTAAATTGCTAAAATTAGGGGCTGAGAGAGGTGGGTCATGACTGTAATCCCAGCGCTCTGGGAGACGGAGGTGGGTGGATCACATGAGGTCAGGAGTTTGAGACCAGCCTGACCAACACGGTGAAACCCCATCTCTGCTAAAAATACAAAAAAAATTAGCTGGGCATAATGGCGCACACCTGTAATCCCAGCTACTTGGGAGGCTGAGGCAGGAGAATCGCTTGAACCTGGGAGGAGGAGGTTGCAGTGAGCCAAGATCATGCCATTGCACTCCAGCCTGTACAATAAGAGGGAAACTCCATCTCAAAAAACAAAACAAAACAAAAAAAAGTCTGCAATCCCAGCACTTTGGGAGGCCCAGGTGGGCAGATCATGAGGTCAGGAGCTTGAGACCAGCCTGGTCAACATGGTGAAACCCAGTTTCTACTAAAACTATAAAAATTAGCCGGGCGTGGTGGCATGCACCTATAATCCCAGCTACTCAGGAGGCTGAGGCAGGAGAATCACGTGAACCCGGGAGGCAGAGGTTGCAGTGAGCTGAGATCATGCCGCTGCACTCCAGCCTGAGCAACAGAGCAAGACTCAGTCTCAAAATAAATAAATAAATAAATTAATTAAAAAAATTAAATTAGGAGCTTAACAAAATACGTTATGATCCAGCCATACAATGGAATACCATATAGCCTCTAAACTGATGGGGTAGTATAGGGGAGCATTAATTCACATGAAGAGGTAGTCATGACAAGTTGCTACCAAAAAAGGGAGATTACAAACCAATATATACAACACTTTCATTTTTTGGGCCATTTTTTTTTAATACTTGAGGTTCTGGGGTACATGGGCAGAATGGGCAGTTTTGTTACATAGGTATACACATGCCATGGTGGTTTGCTGCACCCATCAACCTGTCATCTACATTAGGTATTTCTTCTAATGCTATCCCTCCCCCAGTCCCCCATCCCCTGACAGGCCCTGGTATGTGATGTTCCCCTCCCTGTGTCCATGTATTCTCATTGTTCAGCTCCCACTTATGAGTGAGAACATGCGGTGTTTGGTTTTCTGTTCTTTTATTAGTTTGCTGAGAATGATGGTTTCTGGCTTCATACATCTCCCTGCAAAGGACATGAACTCATCCTTTTTTATGGCTGCATAGTATTCCATGGTGTATATGTGCCAGATTTTCTTTATCCAGCCTATCACTGATGGGCATTTGGGTTGGTTCCAAGTCTTTGCTATTGTGAATAGTGCCACAATAAACATATGTGTGCATGTGTACAGTAGAATGATTTAGAATCCTTTGGGTATATAGCCAGTAATGTGATTACTGGGTCAAACGGTATTTCTGGTTCTAGATCCTTGAGGAATTGCCATACTATCTTCCACAATGTTTGAACTAATTTACACTCCCACCAACAGAGTAAAAGCGTTCCTATTTCTCCACATCCTCTCTTAGCACCTGTTGTTTCCTGACTTTTTAATGATTGCCATTCTAACTGGTGTGAGATGGTATCTCATTGTGGTTTTGATTTGCATTTCTCTAATGACCAGTGATGATGAGCTTTTTTACATATGTTTGTTGGTCGCATAAATATCTTTTTGAGAAGTGTCTGTTCATCTTCTTCATCCACTTTTTAATGGGGTTTTTTTTTTCTTGTAAACCTGTTTAAGTTCTTTGTAGATTTTGGATGTTAGCCCTTGTCAGATGGATAGATTGCAAAAATTTTCTCCCTTTCTGTAGGTTGGCTGTTCACTCTGATGATACTGTCTTTTGCTGTGCAGAAGCTCTTTAGTTTAATTAGATCCCATTTGTCAATTCTGGCTTTTGTTGCCATTTCTTTTGGTGTTTTAGTCATGAAGTCTTTGCC